ACAAGATTGGAAAGGTTTTGCAATCTGTGCTCTGACCCCAGATACTTTCACTACTCACAGGGGACATTTTCTCCTTCATTAGTGTGGCCATGGAGACCCCTGGCCCTCACAGAGGAGCAAGAGTGACCAAGCACAGCACAGATCTGGACAGCCCAACTCCAAAACGGGACTAAATCACCCCGTTCCAGCGTGGGGGCACTTTTCACCCCATCTGAAGGGCCATGTTAGATGTGGACAAGCAAGCAGCTGGCAAACAGCTCCAGAGGCAGCTGAAGTGAAGCTGGACAACTTTGCTCAGGATGCTGAGTCCACTCCAAGCTCCCCAGGCCTTGGCCAAGCACATGGGAGAGCCCATGGCTGGTGATGGCAGAGGTGGCAGAACAGAGCATCCCAGGAGCTGCAAGGTGAGCCAGGCACAGGGAACCTGCTCAGATCCTCGCTACAAACCAACAGCTCCAGGTTCTGCCACCACTGGAAAGAATTCCCAATGCTGCTCTCCCTCTTTCTGGGGATTTTGAAGAGGCACAAACCCACCCCAGGTTCACCTCACAGGAAGTGACTAAGACAGAAAGTGAATCTGAAACATGGGATACACAGTCCAGGGAACAGCGACAGACAAACAGGGAGCTGGAAGTGAGCCTGAAGTTGGGAAAGGAAGCAGAGTGCAAGGACAAAGCCCTGGGGACTGTGATAAACAGGTGGCTGGGGAAGTTTCACATCTCCCAGAAAAATCCCTCCCTGCCCTGAAACTTGGCAGAAGGTTTCCAGACCGGAAAGGGACTTTTAACAAAAAGATGGAAATCCAGAAAGCGTGGCCACTCTGCAGCTCCAAGCTCTAAGAGGAGGGAATCCTGCCTTTCACTAGCACGGACAGAAAAGCTTTCCCCAAACATCTGTGCTGGACACTGGACAACTCCAGATCCCCTGTCCTTTCCCTCCAGAGGACCTCCTGCCCTTTCCTTTTGCCTGTCCTTCCCACACAGGTTTCTTTGAAGGAGCTGAGCTCACTTTGCCCAGATCAGAGCAGAGGCAGCTCTGTAAGATCAGGATTCCTGAGCCCGCAGCAAGAGACAGAAGCAGAGCAAGAGTTTGCTTTCAAGTCCTCCTGACACGTTCTCCCTCATGACAGCTGAGCCGTGGCTCACCATGACCTGAAAAAAAATGGAAAATTCCCCAATCCCCGACCAGTTTAGAGACTGAAAGGCTGGCACTTCAGAGATGTGCCTTCACCTATAGCAGCTGGGCTGGAGAAAGTCGGGAAGGAGAGGTGGGATAAAATAGGGAAGTTGAAAGCTGTAACTTCACAGTTGTGCCACCAACCCCCTTACTCTCTGCGGCATTTTTTTTCCTCATTTATGAATTTATGAATCCTTCGGTTGCTCATGAATCCTGCAGCAGGTCCGACCCCTCTGAAGGGAAGGGGCTGTGCCCAGCAGCCAGGGCTCTGCCCGGGGATGGCCCATCCCAGGGGTTTCTCCTCCGGGCCGGGCCAGCGCAGGCGGATCCGTGCCCTGCCCGCCCCAGGGCCCCGGCACTCCTGAGGGGGCTCAGGCCGGGCCGCCATCGCCCCCCGCCCGGCACACACAAACAATTATCGCCCAGAGCGGGGATGCGGTGCCCGCGGCTCAACAGGTCCCGGCCCGTCCCGCCAAGGCCGGGGAGAGCCCGTCCCGGCCCCGCCGGGGGAACGCGGCCACCGGGGCTGGGGGACACGTGGGCAGGGCCGGGGACACGCGGCCCCCTCCAGGCCCCTCTTCCCCGGAGCCCGCCCCGCCAGGCCCTCCTCCCTCAGAGCCCCTCCCGTGTCCCCTTACCCCGCCCGAGCCCCCCCAGCCCCCAGCCCCGCACCTGCCGGGCCGCGCTCCCGCCGCTCCCGCGCCCTCCCGCGCGCCGCTCGCGGCCGGCGCTACTTCCTCTTAAAGGGGCCGCCCCCGCCCGCGCCGGCCCCGCCCACGGCAGGGACGGGCCGGGGAGGGCGAAAGGCACGGCGGATGGGGCTGGGCGGACAGTTCGTGAGTTCGTGTTTTATGGTATTTAAAACATTTTATTCTAGTTTATTTTACTCTGTGTTCTTTCATTCTATTTCAACATTTTATCCTACTTGTCTGAATTCCTTTGGCGGACGGGCCGGGGAGGGCGAAAGGCACGGCGGATGGGCCTGGGCGAACAGTTCGTGTGTTATGGTATTTAAAACATTTTATTCTAGTTTATTTTACTCTGTGTTCTTTCATTCTATTTCAACATTTTATCCTACTTGTCTGAATTCCTTTTGCTTTCTTTTCTTTCATTCTATTTTCTTTCATTTCTATTTTAATTTTGTTTTCTACTTGATTTTGTTTTCTAGTTTATCCTTATTTTATTTTCTATTTTATCTTAATTTTATTTTGTTTTATTTTCTATCTCATCTTTTTCTCTTTTTATTTTGTCTTTTATGCTTATTCTATTTGCTTTTGTTTTCAATTTTCGTTTATTTTTATATTTTCTTCTGTTTTATTATTTATTTTCTTTAATATATTATTTTCCATAATTATATTTAATTCTATTATTAATATATAAAAATAATTATTAATACATTCTATGTATTTATTTTTGTAATTGTATTTATTTTTTTCTTTTATTCCAATCCAGTTATTTCCCCTCTCTTCCCTTTTATTTCTTTTCTTCTATTCTGATTTATTTTCTTTTTAAAAATTTATTTTCCTATTTTATTCTGTCCCATTTGTTTTCCTTTATTCCCATTTATTCCGTGTTTGTGGTTTTGGGAGCAGGGACAAGGCAGGGATGCTCAGGGGGCTCCGAGCAGGGACCTGCCCAGACCTCAGCTTTAAGGTCATAAAAAGGAGAAGTGGCCAGAACCAGCCCCTGCTTCAAAGGGAACTGCTCACAAGGTCAGGCTGGGGAAAGTCAAACCCCGCTGGGAAATCCCTGGGAAGCCCAAAATCAGAGGGTGCCCAAAGCCGAACCAGAGCTGGGAGCTCCTGCCCACCAGGGGTTTTCCAGCTGAGCCTGTGCAGAGCCCGGGGAGTGCCCGAGGCCTTCACAGCCCCCAGCCCACAGAATTCACAGCATCACAGAATCACTGGGGTGGAAGAGACCTCTAACATCATCGAGTCCAGCCCAGCCCCAACCCCTCAACTCAACCCTGGCACCCAGTGCCACATCCAGGCTTTGTTAAACACCCCCAGGGATGGTGACTGCACCACCTCCCCGGGCAGCCATTCCAGAACTTTATCACCCTTGCTGTAAAAAACTTTTTCCTGATATCCAACCTGAATTTCCCTTGGCACAGCTTGAGGCTGTGTGCTCTGGTTCTGTCAGTGCTGCCTGGAGAAAGAGCCCAGCCCCAGCTGAGCACAGGCACCTTCCAGGAGCTGTGCAGTGATGAGGTCACCCTGAGTCTCTTTTCTCCAGAGTGATAAGGTCACCTCTAGGTCTCCTTTTCTCCAGGCTGAACAAGCCCAGGATGTTCACAGCCCCTCCCAGCCCAACCTTGGGTGAAGCCCCAGCTCCTCGGGGGTCTCTGGCTGCCCGAGCTGGCCCCGGCTCAGGCAGCAGCTCGGCTCCTGCAGAGCAGCTGATCCCTCCTGCTCCCGGGAACGGCCGGGCCCGGCTCCAGGAGCCGATCCCCTCCTGCTCCCCGGAACGGCCGGCCCGGCTCCAGGAGCCGATCCCCTCCTGCTCCAGGAGCCGCGGGCCCCGCTGGCTGGATTCCTCCACGAGCAGATGATGCCCTGCCCCAGGGCAGAGCCTGTGTGCCAGGCTCGTGGTTGGAGGCACCACTGGAGCTCACCTGGCTCAGCAGGGGCCCCTGAGCACAGCAGGATTGTGGCCAGATGGCTTTTGAGGATCTCCAGGGAGGTGACTCCACCATCTCTCTGGGCAGCTCTGTCACACGCAGGGCAAAGTCCGTCCCCAGCTCAGGTGGTTTCCTGTGTTCAGTTTCTTCCCATTACCTCTGGTCCCATTGCTTGGCCCCAGCCTCTGGCACGTAGTAAAGCATATATCCATAATAATATATAGATCGATGTTGTATTTATATTCATCTCTGCTCTTCCCCCTGCCCCAGCTCCCACAGGCGTTCCCCACAGGCAATCCTCCATCCCCTCATCATCCTCACAGCCCTGCACAGGCCCCACACCAGGAGCTCCAGCTCTGCTCCACTGGAGCCCAGAACTGGACACGGCACTCCAGGGCTGAGGAAGGGGCAGGGGGAGCTGATGTGTTAAAGGAGCCACAGGAGCTGATCCTGCCCCACCCACCTCAGCTCCTGTGGCTCATTTAACACTTGAGGTTTGCTCCAGGAACTTTCTGGGTTGGGGTTTGTTTTTGTTTCCATGCCATTCCATCAGATTTGTGCAGTCCCACCCCCTGGCAGGTCCATGTGAGATTGCAGTACTGGGAACAGAGGATCTGGATCCTTCCTGCAGCAATTGGGCCAACAAGCTACTGGGCAATTCCCAGTGCAGAACTGGTGGCTCCTGACTCTCAGCCCCAGGGATTTTCTATCCCAAGGTGATTCTCACAGGTTCTGATGTGACTGGAAACCACCGGGGCATCAGCCAAGCCAAGGCCTCACTCCTGCTGTGGCAGGACAGGGCCTTAATCCTCACATCAATGTCACATTTGTCACAAATCTCACTGGAGGCCAAGAGGAAGCACCAGCAGGGGCTGATTCCGGCCTCATTCAGACCAGAGCTCCCATTCTTCCAAGTGCTGAATTTTAGCTGCAATCATGATCCAAAAAATAAAACAATTAATGGAGATTTAACTGAGATAGTCTGAATTATTTTTTCCTGTAATTTCAGTGTTAGTGACAGCTGCTGTTGCAGAGCTGCCTTTCAAGGGGGTGGCATTAGGAATTCCCTACCTCCTTTAGGAAGGAGATTCCTCTTACCTCCACTGAAGATAAATTATTCAGCCCTGGGGTAAATCCCTGCCTTGGTTTTGGGTCCATCCAAACCAGAACGGTCTTATGAAAGGACCATTTATAAAGCCAAAAATTTAACTTTGTTTTGAAAGTTTATTGGATCATCTTGACACAAAATCATTACAGCAGCTTGTGGTATGTTGTTTTCTTTTTCTTTTTTTTTTCTTCCAGGGAATGTTGATAGCAAATAAATTTGTGAATGTAACACATCATACAGTTTCAAAATTCTAGAATCACTGCACAGGATTCTGTAAGAGACTCTACATGCTAAAGTGACAGTTTTCATCCATGAATTAAAAAACCCAAACACTAATTGAGGAACATTATCCTTTAAGACAATTTTAATATGTTCAGTTTCTAATACACAACTGGCTAACCAAGGGAGGCTGACCAAAACCAAACCCTCCACGTCGTGGCAGCACGGTCGGACACGGAGCTGGGCCTGGCAAGGAACCCAGAGCACCAGAGCAGAGCCTTTGCCAAAATACCTCCTGTGGGAAGAGTGTAAAGAGCACGAGACACGCGTACAGTACAGGACATCACCCAACAAAGAAGATCAACACTTTATCCTGCTCCCTGCATGGGGGTTTGGTGTTTTAGGAGTGGTGGTGGTGCTGGAGACGTGCAGACCCAGCCAACTCCTCCCTGGGCACCTTTTTGGAGCAATCAGCTGCTCCTGACGTGTGCCCTGAAGCAAAACCCTTTCACAGAGTTTTGCTCACTGGGTGCTGAACTGTGAGGAAAGAAATGGAACAGAGGAATAAAAAATAAGGGATGTTGGACAAGGACATCAACTGAGCATCTCTGCAGGACACCATGACATCCCTTTCCTGTCAGTGACTCCACAAGATTCCAATAGTGCAGAACGGGCACTTCCCAGACTCTCCCTTCTTCCCTCTAAAGTAACTGCTACAGTCCCAAACCTACAGCTCCTCAGCCCCCTCCCCATCCTGCACCCCAGCAGGGAGAGCAGCTCCTCATGACCCCTCTCCTGCACCCCAGCAGGGAGAGCAGCTCCTCATGACCCCTCTCCTGCACCCCAGCAGGGAGAGCAGCTCCTCACCCTCCTCCCTCCTGCCTCTGGGGCAGGGGCTCCCCATGCACCCCTCTCTCCTGCACCCCAGCAGGGAGGGCTCTGCCACAGGGACTGTGGGGCACTTGTGCTGCCAAATCTGCTCTCACTGCTGCAAGGGCAGGGCTGAGGGACACTGAGGGGACACAGACAGAATGACCCTGCTGGTTTCAGAGCCCAGAGGGAGGACATGGACCTGCACACAAGGGGCTGCACCCATTACTGTTTTTCTAACCTGGTAATGGTCAACCTCAGCTGGTGAGCAAAAGGATAAAAAAGCAGGAACAGACCCCTTTGGATTTCCAGTTTCTTGCTACAGCTTAACTGTTCAGGAATGTGAAATTGAAGTGGACTCATAAACCACATCAGCAGAGACAGCTCAAAGGGGAGAGGCCTGACAGACTCTGTGTGTGGGGCAGTCGAGGGGAGCACAGACCCAAACAATAACACTTCCAGCCCGTTTCATGCTTCCACACTCAACTCTTCCAGCTGTCACTAAAAGAAGGTTAAGGCTCAAGGCAACTACTATAAACACAAACTCAAACATCCCAGTTCCCACAGGGCTCCTTTGGATTAGCTCAAGGAGATGGAGGATATTTATATGCTGATCACAATAGATCTTGAGATAATAATAAATCATATATATATATAAAAAAAAACCAAAACAAAACAAAAAGAGGCCTTCTGGTCCAGCACCAGCCTCTGCTAGAAATATACATCAACTACAGCAGCCCTGAAGACATTTTTCATGGCTAAGGATTAAGTCAACCTTCCCTGGCGTAAGCACAAACAACAAACTGTGCTACTGTTGATAAAGTCCTGCTCAGTCGCCATCCCACACAGATGAAGGTCATGGGATCATCATGAGCTGCTGAATAAATAGTGCCCACCCCTCCCTCCCTCCCTCCTCCAGTCATGTCACCAGGATCTCTTTGGGCTAGAAAGGGTTAACACCACAGTTTGTAAAAAGTTCTGAAAATAAAAAGGTAACATACAGCCTTAAAATGTCTAAACTGCAACCAATGGTGGAGTTAACTGAAAGCACGTGCCCCAGGGTAGTACATGCGTACGAGGGAGAAACTTAACACTTGGGTCTGCTCGTCTTTACACGTTGGGTGTGTTTCTGGTCGTTGGAATATTTGATAAGGAATATTCAGCACTTGGACAATGTCTCTTTCATCTCATCCAACAAGTTGCTAAGCAGGGTAGAATCATTACATTTCCCATCTATGGATACAGAGTTCTCTCCCTTGGGAAGGAAGAAAAAAAAAGAAAAAAAAAATCATTAGCTCCTCTTCCAAGTGTGTTCCCAGCCAAACTCAGGGACTGGAAAGAGGCAGAGGAAGGCAGGGAAGGCTCCAGGTTTAGCTCCTCAGGGGTTACAGTGCTCTCACCTTTTTTACCAGTAGGCAGACATGATGGCCTTGGATAGAACGGCTGTACATGGATGCACACGAATCAACGCGTTCCACAACTGCAGAGAAACAGCAATTTCATTTCATTCCATTCCATTTTAATTCAAGCCCTGCTTCCCCTGGAGAGCAGCCCTTGCTCTGCCTGGCCTTGAGGAACAGAGGCTTCTACAGAGGGGAGGAGGAAGTCAGGGTTAAGATGTGCCTGGCTCCTCCTGGCTTCTCTCTGGGACGTTTCACAATAATGAGGTGAGTCATTAGTCTCCTAAGCCACAAATGTTCTGTGGCAAAAACACTGCTCAGAACGTAGATTTCTTCCCCAGAAATACTTCCAGTGAGGCAATGTCTAATGCAAACACCAGAGCATGATGAAACAGCCAGTTGTTTTGCTTCAGCCAGTACTTGTGTTTTAATTAATAAACCCAAACCTGAATAGCTGGGGCTGAAAGGAAGCACTGGGAGAGTCTGAAGCCCTGCAGTTCAAACCCACCCTCCAGAGAACAGTTACAGCCTGAACTCCACAGCAGCTGCTCCCATGATAGCTGTCACATGCCTCACTGGGCTGCAGGAATTCCACAGGGACACAAGGAGAATTCATTTTGAAGAATACTGCATGCTTTGAGTGTTGCAAAACTGGAGAAAACTCTCCCAAATGTATTTAATCTGGACATCACCTGCTCCTGTGGTTGCTGAGCCCATGGAGTATTATGCTCACCAAGCACAGCAGAGATTTTAAAATATGGAATTCTGCAGAAGGTTCTGCATCAAGGAAAACTCACCTGAAAAATGATGATGAAAACAGATCTTTGCCAGTAGATGTTGGAAAGAAATGCTAATTCCATCTACTTTAATAGAACTCATGTGCAGATCTCCAGACTCTAGGAGCTTGGCAAAAGCATCACTGCAGAGCAAGAAGGAAAGCAAATGTTTTATTAGAAATGCAAGTGAAATCTGTCCCATCAGCCCCATGAAACACGTCAGGATACAGAAGCTTAAGTGCTACCAAGCTCGAGGAAAAGGGGTTTACAGCAAATATGGAAACCACACTCCAGAGCCCACTGGAGCAACTTGTGCCCTCTTGCTGCCAGAGCTGCCTCTGCCAGCCTGCAGGGCACAGAGCTCCCTCTGCAGAGCCACTTGAAATCAGCCACTGGACATATTTGACCAGTCACCCTCTGCAGAGACCCTGCCCAAGCCCTCGGGAGCAGCCAGGGCTCGGCCCGCAGGGGGCAGCGGCGCGGGCACGGCTTGGCCCGGGCACGGCTCGGCTCGGTGCGGGCACAGCTCGGCCCGGTGGCGGCGGCGGCCCGGGCACGGCTCGGCCCGGCTCAGCCCGCAGGGGGTGGCAGCGCGGGCTCAGTTTGGGTACGGCTCGGCCCGGGCACAGCTCGGCCCGGTGGCGGCGGCGGCCCGGGCACGGCTCGGCCCGGCTCAGCCCGCAGGGGGTGGCAGCGCGGGCTCAGTTTGGGTACGGCTCGGCCCGGGCACAGCTCGGCCCGGTGGCGGCGGCGGCCCGGGCACGGCTCGGCCCGGCTCAGCCCGCAGGGGGTGGCAGCGCGGGCTCAGTTTGGGTACGGCTCGGCCCGGGCACAGCTCAGCTCGGCCCGCCGGGGGCAGTGGCCCGGGCACGGCTCGGCTCAGCCCGCAGGGGGCGGCAGAGCGGGCACGGCTCGGCCCGGGCACGGCTCGGCTCAGCCCACAGGGGGCGGCAGAGCGGGCACTCACCTGTAGCAAGGCGTCGTGATCAAGTATGAAGCACAACTGAAGTGCAATTTGAAATCTAGTTTTTCATGGGTTGAACCTTCATCATTCTGCAACAGAGCAAAGCAGAGCAGGTGAGTGGGAGCCCTGGCGCAGCCCCCCTACCCACCACACAGGCACCAGGGAGGAGCTGAGGGCTGAGCTCCCCCTGAAACAGCCTGGCAGGGCCTGAAGGATCAGTGTGAGAACCACCCCCCCACATCAGGGGCAGCTGGGTTCATACATGCACCTGCAACAGGTAAGGGACACACTGGGCTACAGTTCTGCCTGCACTCTGCTGAAATAAACTGAGCAGACTGAGTTTAAACTAACACTTGGAGATGTGGTTTTACAGTTCATTATTTTCTGAGCAAAATAATAAATTAATAGTTCCCAGATTCTTAGGTACTAAAATAGGACTAGCATGCTATTTTTAAGAAACCCTTAAAATAGAGATAATGGCTGACTCAGGAGTAGCCACAACTGTCTCCATTCATTTCCTTTGAGCTGCTCATGCAGCTCTTCATTAATAACTGTACTGAAATAACATCAGAGACCCACACAGTCTTATCCAGCTCAATACCTATTAAACAATGCCTTCCGCTGACCTCACTCTTGGTCAGGGTTTCTTAATAACTGCATCTAATTCTCATTTTTGTTTTGCAGCCTTGTACCAGGCTGCAGTGTCCAGCTGAGATCAGAAGGAGCAGACCCTGCTTCCTCTCTCCCCTCCCCAGCAGACCAGTGTGATCTCCTGGCTGACAATGTGGCACATGTTCCAGGCTGCCTTGCTCACACGCTGACAGGGATGACAATCTAGGACGTGCTGACGCAGGATTGGGGGCACTCTTTGCACAAGATGTCATGTGAAAATGCTCCTCACAGAATGGGCTGGTGCAGCAGGGATGAAATGATGCCTAAAAAAAGCTCCAGAGCAGAGCTTCCCACCCGAGTCCGGCTCCCTGACGCAGTTCCCAAGGAAGCAGAGGCAGTTGAGAGCTGCACTTACTTTGACTATAAAGGACAGTGTTCCTTTTAACTTCTGAGCCATAACAATACTCTGAAGTGTAAACACAAACTGGGCTTCATTAGAGATTCCTGGTGTGAAGAGATGAGAGGGAAAAGTCAGGTCAGAACATGGTTTCCAGATCTAAGTAATGGTTAGAATAAACTGACTTATGTGCAGACTATTTTTGAACCAAGTTTGAAATTCTTTGAGCTGGAAGACAGTTCTACACACAACTGCTGTGATGAGTCAACAATGTTACAGCACTTGGGTCTCTCAGAAGCAGCAATGGGAGCTGACATTTGGTGGAGGTTATTGAGCAAGTGCCCGGGCAAAATGTCACAGTGTCACATATTTAAACTATTTGCATAACTGGAATTATATTATAAACATTTCAGAGTAGCTTTCAGAGCTAATTTGAATTCTAATGTTTCTATGTTTTGCTTTTAATATACAAGTCTGTGTTAAGAACTGCCACATACAGATTTAAAACCAAATCAAATATCCCACTGCTTTCCATGGAGGATTGAAAAGCACCCCGAGGCCACTCCAGCCCTCTGAGCTGTTCCAGAATTCAAATTAACTCCTTGCTGAAGGAAGGGAAATTCAGAGAAGTCCACTGTACTACTGTGCTCTGTACAAAACCATTATCCTTCATTTCAGCGCTTAATACTTCTGGAGGGCTCAGCTGCCCTCCTTGCACATCTTTATCAAAAACCTTCTCTGCAAAAGGCCTCTGCCATTCAAACAGTGGGACACAAGAGCTCCAGAATAAATCCAGAGTGGATTCTAATGCTTCACAAACCTACTGCCTTGTTTTATTTTAAATCTCATACCAAACACGTAATGAATTTTGGATTTCTGTAGTCAAAGGTGTGCCAGCCTGCAGACATCTGGGAAAGGAACTCAGACATTTGGACTCCCAGCCCTAAATTAAGGCTTTGCTCTTGCTGTGCAGAACCACCTGCATTACAGCCATACTGGGAGAAGGCTTAATCCTCTCCAGGGAACTGTGGGAAAGCCCAGCAACACCCAGGCAGAGATGTTTTTTCTGGAAAACAGCAAGATGTTCAAGCAGCTCTTTCCACAGGAGGGCAGTGCAGGGCCAGCCGCACTCCAAGAGCCCTGTGCAAAGCTGTGCATACCAGGGGGGAGCTGGAAGGGCACAGGTATCCCATCGTGTACTGATGATCCTTCTGGTCGGAGCATTTTAGTGTTGAGAGAGTCCAGGACATTCAGTTCCATGCTCTTAAGGAAGCTAGTGCTTTTGTTCTCAAAGATAACAGACACAGTAACTTGGCTGTCATTCTGGAGGTTTCCTTGAATATCATAGGTCTGCAAATGAAGGGAAAAATGTCATAGGAAAGAGTCAAACTTCAAGAAACAGAACACTGCATGGGGATAAAAGCAGGTTCAAAAGGGAGGGAATTTGGTATGGCTAGAAGATTATGGAAACACACTGGTGATCAGCTAAGGATTGGGAAAATATCCACTTGGAAATTAAAGTGGGCCACCCAAAGGAAAGGAAATGGAGCTTGGTTATAGTTCTACCTTCTGGGACTGAAACAGTTCTTCAGTTATGTGATGACTACATAAAGTCACTCCACCATCCCAGGGCACCCCTGACTCAGGGAACACAGAGACAACATTCAAACTCACCATTTTAATGTAGGGGTTTTCAGCAAGAAGGCGGTAACTGGACATGGGCTGAAAAACAAGAGAAGCCACAGTCACACCAGAACTGATGACTCTGAAAGAGCTGCCACTGTCCTCCCTCCCAAGCAGCTGAGCTCTCCTCATCCCAGGCCTGGGCACAACTACTCACTGGTAGTGGCTCATCCTCCAGAGTCCCGTTCTGCACCGACTCCAGGGGCTCCTCCTCGCTGTGATGACTCTTCTTTTTGGATTTCTTTTTATCCTTTGATTTCTCTTCTTTCTCTTTCTTGTGCTTTTTCTTCTTATGCTTGGAGGATTTCTACCAAGAAGAATAAGAAACTACAACAAACCCTTAAAGAAACCCTTGATTTCTAGCTATGACCTCTCTACCACAGTTCCAGCTCTAGACTCTTGCTCTCTGCACTTCCTGGACTGCACAAGGTTTCCCTCTACAGCAGAACCCAAAGCAGAGCTACCATTCCTTAAATCCCAAAAGTAACTCCATGTGGAGTCCCAGTAAACTCTGCTCCCCACCCAGCTGCCCATACCTTATCCCAAAGTAACCTGGGAACAGCACAAGGCTGAATCTCTCCAACTGTTTGGAAGCTCAGCTTTAACTGGGACCTGTCCCTTGGCTCAGGGAACAGCCAAAGCTCTGACCATGAGGTGGTCACAGCTCCTCAAGGATGCAACGTTTGCAGGCAGTCACTGCACTGAACAGATGCTGTTGGTAAATCCTGTGTGCTGCTTTTTAAGGAGTTTGAGACAGCAGGAGAATATGGCTGAAAGGTGACACCAACTTCATAGAACCAGAGAATTGGGAAGGTTGGAAAAGATCTTTAAGACCATCAGGTCCAACCATCAGCCCAGTGCCACCACATCCACCACTAAAGCACATTCACAAGTGCCACACCCACAGGTTTTCGGAACATTTCCAGGGACAGTGACTCCACCACTGCCCCAGGCAGCTTGTTCCAATGCCTGACAATCCTTTCCATTAAAAAACAGTAACAACAAAATCTTTCCTAGTATTTAATCTAAGCCTCCCCTGATGTAACTTGAGGGAACCTTCTCTTAACTTGAACCACTTACCTTTCCTTCATCCTCCTCCTCCTCATCTTGTTCTTCCCTTTCTTCTTTTTTTGCCACTTGAGATTCAGCCACCACAGCAGTGCCCATTCCAGGCTCGCTCTGAGGGGATGAGCAGAAGGATTCTGACACTAATGGAAAGCAGCTGGAACAACCCAAACCCACACCAAAAGAAACTCAACAGTGACAACTCCTCACAAGTGTTATTTCAGAAATGACATTAGGCTAACACAGTATCAAGGCTTTCATTTTATGCCTCTGAAACCCAGCAAATATGATCACCTGAGGACACGATTCAGAAGATTCCCTCCAAGGAATCCATCCCCTTATATCTCTGTCTCTTCCTCTAGAATTTCCCATCAAAATTCATGAGAATTTTTCTTTCACACTCCGTCTCTCATGTCTATTAATATTGCTAGAGTCTACCTCATACTGGGAAATAAAACCATACAACTGTATAACATTATACTCATCAATAACAAAATCAACCAAGCCTGGAGCTGCATCTGTATTTCTATTTCTCTTCCTTGCTCTGCACAGAATGAGCCTCAAGTCTCCCATTACAGCTCCTCTGAACTGGGCAGACACAGTATCTCTGCTCCCAGCAGGAAGTTGAGGAGATGAAGCTGATGTTCCCCTCTGTGCTGCAGCATGACACAGCACTCCTGCACAGCTCACAGGCAAGGAATAACCAGAGAAGTTTCTTCTGATGGGGGAAGATTCCTACCTGTGGCTGGGGCGTGGGAGCAGCTGGTGGAGCAGTGGAGAGCCAGAAATCCAAGTCTTCCCCCTGAATTTCAGGAGAAAAAAAAACCCCATTATCATTGTTTTTATATATTTCTTAAAAATCAAATTAAAAATCCAACACCCCCCAACAACAACAGCAACAAAAGAAAACCAAAACAAAAAGATCACAAGAATGGAACATCTGCCTTATGAGGAAGAGCTAGGAGAGCTGGGGGTGTTCACCTGGAGAAGGCTCCAGGGAGAGCTCAGAGCCCCTTGCAGGGCCTGAAGGGGCTCCAACAAATCTAGAGAAAAACCTGGGGACAAGGGATGGAGGGACAGGACAAAGGGCAACAGCTTCCCACTGACAGAGGGATACTGAGAGGTGGGATACTGGGAAGGGATTCTTCCCTGGCAGGGTGGGCAGGGCCTGGCTTGGGGTGCCCAGAGCAGCTGTGGCTGCCCCTGGATCCCTGGCAGTGCCCAGGGCCAGGCTGGACAGGGCTTGGAGCACCCTGGGATAGTGGAAGGTGTCCATGGCAGGGGTGGGACCGGATGAGTTTTAAGGCTCCTTTAAACCCAAACCAGTCTGGGATTCTGTGACTCTACAACAATTAAATCAAAATTTTAAGTTCACAAGAATGGAACATCTGCCTTATGAGGAAGAGCTAGGAGAGCTGGGGGTGTTCACCTGGAGAAGAGAAGGCTCCAGGGCGAGCTCAGAGCCCCTTGCAGGGCCTGAAGGGGCTCCAACAAATCTAGAGAAAAACCTGGAGACAAGGGATGGAGGGACAGGACAAAGGGCAACAGCTTCCCACTGACAGAGGGATACTGAGAGGTGGGATACTGGGAAGGGATTCTTCCCTGGCAGGGTGGGCAGGCCCTGGCTTGGGGTGCCCAGAGCAGCTGTGGCTGCCCCTGGATCCCTGGCAGTGCCCAAGGCCAGACTGGACAGGGCTTGGAGCACCCTGGGATAGTGGAAGGTGTCCATGGCAGGGGTGGAACTGGATGAGTTTTAAGGCTCCTTTGAACCCAAACCAGTCTGGGATTCTTGACTCTACAACAATTAAATCAAAATTTTAAGTTCCCATGGCAATGCAGCACTCCAGAGTGCTCCTCATGCACAGATGCTGTGACACATTCAGGAGCAAACACACCAAGAAGCTTCACTTCAGTCTTTGAGCACTTCCAGAGCCAGGCCCAGCTGACAGCACCCCCACACCAGGGCATCCCTGGAGTTCCAAGGGCTGCAGGGCAGAGGGAATGTGCAGCTCTGCAAGGGGTTAACAGGAGGATGCTTCAAATCCTGAGACCAACTGACAGCTAATGGCAGGGTTTATAACTGAAAGGTTCTGGAGCACATGGGAGACAGGATGCACAACAAATGACACTCACAAAACTAGTTCCAGATATTTTGCTAAGGAGTTCCCCACTTGGAGAACAGACAAAATATCAGCAAACTCATCTTCCACGTGAGCTCTGGCAGATCTGCTGTGTAGGCTGCACTAAGCTGAATTCTGCTAACTTAGGAGGCTAAGTAAGTGTTATTTTTATTAACAGAAATCTTTAAATACCTGCTGCTACAGTAGTAAAAATTGAAGGAAATAGAGGGTGAATGCATTGAGCTGTTTGAACTGTCAAATGTAACTGTTTCTAGGCAACAAAGCAAACTCAGCAATAAGTAACAGCAGGAGCTAAAATAATGCAAATCTTGAAGAATTACCTTTTTTACTTCTTCCTCCTCCTCCTCTACCACCTTTTTCTCTTTCTCTTTCTTCTTTCCTTTATCTCTCTCTTTATCTTTATGTTTCTTTTCCTTCTTTTTGGGTTTCTTGCTCTTCTTCTCTGCTAGGGGAACTTCAGAGTCTGGTGACTTCAGGGTCTCGACATTCCTGTGTCTCTGCACTGGCAGCTTCTCACTGTCTGCTAAGGGTCTTGAAAAAAAAAAGAGCCCATTACCTGCTGCAAACAGCCTCCCTCAGCCAGATAACCTGTCCAGGACAAAGTATGCTTTGTTCTTAGGGAGCTGGGCCCCCAAGCCTAAAATCAGTGCATACTTCTATACCTGGAGTTTACTTATGCACTGCAGACATTGCCCTTGTGGGTTGGGAGGCAGAGGAAACAACTGGAAGGTGACTGAGAGCCAAGGTCTTGCTGTTTAACCCTTAGAGTTGCCAGCTAGAGGCCTGCAGGCTGAGGAACAGCCACAGAGGAACAGCTCCATGTTAGGCTGTGTTTCCATGGAATCCCTCTCCAAGGAAAAGCAAGGATGTGGAACAGCATTTCCAGCAGAGTGGAAATTTGAGCAGTGGAATGCCAGCATGGCTCCAGCAGCCCTTGAAGGGTGTGGGGTTTGTTCTTTGATTAACAGATCAGTCCAATTGGGAATTATTCTAAGTAATTTTTATTTTGGAAGTTTGCACTATGAATTTCTACTCTACCACTACATTTTGTAAGTGAAATGTAACTTCAGACACACATTTCCAAAAAGCACCAATAGCAGGTCATACTTACACTGCATCCTAAATCCACTACTTGGGGAAAAAAAAACCAAAAAAACCACCACAAAATTCCTCTCATTCTTGTCAAACATTTCCAGAAACCAGCAAGAATTTCCCTAACTGCATATTTTTCTATTTATTAGCTTTTATTTAATGTTCATTTTCACATTTGCACAGCAAACATCACTTCAGGAAGATTTCTAATGGCCTTAACTGCCTCAATTTTTAAGCTTATACTGCATTAAGACCCAGAACCAATTAATTTTTCACTTTCAGGCACTAAGGGAAGACTGAACAGCAAACAGGCCCCATCTTTTACTATTTCAGATACACCTGTACAGGAACAGCATTGGTGCTGAAAGCCAGTGACCAAACAGACTCACAAATGTGAAAGTTTCTGATTTAACAGTTCCATCACCCTTCAAGGACTTGCACTGCCCAAAATCAACCAACCTGACAAAGATCAACACTCAGGAGATATTCTTACCTGGAAGGCTTCCCTGAAACCAGACTGCGTGTGAGCGTGACAGACAGAGCAGTGCAAGCACAGAAAGAAAGAGAGAGGACACACACATGAGAAACCATGACAGGAGAGCACAGCACTCATGGCACAGGGGAGGGAATGGAGGGAACAATCCAGCAGCCCTGGATGCCTCCTGGAGCACAGCACCCAGGATCTGCTCTGCTGGGTGTGCCCAGAGCTGCTGGGAATCACCATGCAAATACAGGGGCTACAGGCAGAAATTAATTTCCTCTTATACATTTGTTCCTGTAGACTTTAACTGGCCTTCCAAAAAAGGAAGTTCCTTAGAAACTGTTTTATTCACTTTTTAAAAATGTTATTACACTTTTTCACAAGGTACTGAGGGGCCAAAGCCCAGTAAATTGGAACTGCAAAGAAAGGCAGAGACTCAAGCATCAGAGGAAGAGAGAGATCCCACAAACACCCACATGGGCCTGCCCAGTCTTCCAAACTTAACAGGAGGCATCCCTGGGCCATAAATCAGCAGTTATTCTTGGCATGGTGATTTTGTAAAAGAGCAACTAAAAAAGAAAATTCCAAACCAATCTCCATGTGCAATACTGCACAGCCCAGGGCTCATGGTCCTGTGGGTGCAGGGGCTCAGTGCTGGCACAGCCCCAGAGCTGGGGGGGACCAGCCTGCTCACAGGTGTGACATGCAGCTCAGTCACATCAGAACAACACTTCACAACACTGGGACCACACTGAAGGGCCACAGGGGTGGGACAGCCTGGGTGTTCCTGGCCAGTGAGCACAACACAGGCTTGCCATGGACACAGAGCTTCTAAGAGGGACAGATGGACACAGGTCACACTCGGTGCCAAAACAGGTGACAGCAGAGAGACAGTGGGACACCTCAGAGTAACCCACACCTGATGCAGTGACACTGTCTGTGCTTCCACTTCTTCAGTCACACTCACACTACATTTAGTGACTCCCCTGTCCCTCCCAAACCTCTCTCATACTCAGGAGCTGAGATTTTATCATCCAGCTGCAGTGGGAGCCAAAGCTGGATGAGCACCTGAGGTTTCATCAAAGCCATGGGGAGAGACTTCAGCCTTTTCCCCTCGTGGCCTGGAGTGCCTTTGCCTGCTCAGCCCCAGCCCTGCCCTCAGGCACTCTGTTATCAACTCAGTGAACTCACACAGAAAACTGCACTTACTTATCCAGGTCTATGTCAAGTGCCTTATAGGGATCATTGGGATCTTTGTCATCTTCATCACTGGGCAAAGCATTCTGCAGGAGAGATACACAGACATCCACTGAGGCAGCAAACCACTGGCAGTTTTCAAATTCAAGCTTAACACCACCCAAATTAAATTTTTTTTGAGCCTGTGAACCCTGCAGCAGGCCAGCTGCAGTCAGGCACAGTAAGTTATGGGAACAATGCACTTCAATGCAGCATCCAGTTTCAAGATTAATTTGGAACAGAAACCCCTTCTTCATAAACAGCAGGATTTGAATTGCTGCTGTTCGGTTTTGATTAAAGGAAATTTTAGAAACAAATACAGATGACATCATTAGCATCTGCAATTAATTATCATCAGCTGCAAAGCTGCTGACTAGACAGCAAGTTACTGTCAAAGTGAAGCAGCAGAGCATAATAAATGTTATTTGGACAGTGTTACTTTTACAGCAGGGATGAACATTGTTTTGTTGGTTTTGACTTGTTTAATAGCTTCAGTGGCAATTTTTGTCTTTTTGTTAAAAAAAAAAAGACAGTAATTTCTTCCCCTGCAAAGAACAGCCTGGGATCATCTCAGTCATTTCTGAAACAGCTCTGGAACTGCCACATCACAGACTGGCTGCAGTTGTGGGGACAGAAATCTCTCAAGAGCTGTACACAGATAAATGCCAGACCCCAAGGACAGGAACTGACCTCTGGCATCTCCTCTGTGATGATGTCAACGTGGTGAGCTGGAGCAATGTCCTCCTCACTCTCTGTGTGCAGGGAGTTGTGGCGATGGTGCTTCCCTCTCTTCTCCTTTTTCTGTTTCTTCTTTTTCTTGTCTTTCTCCAGTTTCTGTTTATGCCTTCGCTCTTCTTCCAATTTCACATACTGGTCTGACATGGGCATTCCTGGGGGCAAGCCAAGCTGCTTTCAGGTACAGAGCACGTGGACTGAGCACTGAAACAGCACGTCAGGAGTGTGCCCTGCTCCTGCTGCCAGCTTCCCAGAGCCAGCCAGATCCACACCTCTGTGCTTCCACACCACCTCACACAGACCCCCAAGCACCAGCTTTGCTGCCCACTCCATCTCTCCAGAAACAGGACAGAGCTCAGTCCTGCTCTCTGATGCTTGGCTGCATTATTGCATTACAAGGAGCATCCAAACATTGAGATTTTAAGGAGAACTGGTGACATTGCTGCTGTACTTGCAATGGAAGGCACTTTATCAACAGCTTTCCAGTGCTGTATCCAACCACTCCTTAGATACACAACCACTTTTGATAATTGAAACAAGATATTCAAACAGTATCTCTACCATTAGATTCTATTTCTTGTCTCCTCCATCAGACCTCCCAGATATTTTCAAGGTGACTGCTCCCACACAGAACAGTGGTTCCTCTACATGTTACAGACCTGACTGCATGATATTCCTAATCACAGAAGTATTTCTAATGTTATCTTAAAAGGACCTCAGACTGCAAAGTACTATTTTCAAATGTAAATTAAGGAGATATATTTAAGACTCTAATGAAAGTGTGTTCCTTGCCCTTCAAAACCTCAGGCAGAAGACCTAAGAAGGAATTATGACTTTTTCTAAACTGAATTTAATTAATTTTAAACGATTTGCAGTGCTTACCTGGAACTTTTAATGGGACAGAAAGGTCGATCTGGACCACAGGAATATGTTCCACCCCTGGAGTGTCTTGGTATCGCTGGGAAAAGAAAGATTTGTTACTTTCTGAGCACTGCCAGCACAAATTTCTGTAAATAGGCATATTGCAAAACATCAAGCAGCTCAATCCCTTAAGTGAACATTTAAAAGATAGGAATAGAACAGCTTGTTAATAATTCTGTGTGGTAGCAGAGTGTGTTTTAAAGCCAGTTGATAACCATTATAAAGGATCCTACTCTTAGCTACAATTTTTAACCCCACTACTGCCCTGAAGAATTATTGCATCTCTCTGAAGAATTTTTGGTTTATTGCTGATAACTTGCCACTTCAGAAGATACATTTGGAGATTGGAGTTGAGGAATATGGGGCAGTCCTTCCGATATAGAGGGAATAAAGGAAGTTCTTTCCCTGAAAAAGGTGTTCAGAGACCACAACAATTTCTGATCCACAAAATACTGATCCAGTGTGAGCTCCAGAGTCACCCTCTGCAGGGCTCTGAGTGAGGGGCCTGGGGATGTGAATGTTGCCATCACTCGGGGCTGGGACAAACTGCACAGACTCCGTCACAGGCTGCCCTGGGGGTACCAGGTCACTCAGGAGATTCTCAGCACAAACAGGAGTTATAAAAACAGTTGTAGGCAGCCACTCCAGTCCATGCAATATAAAGTAGCCAGAACTGCAGGGGAAATATCAACATGTCCCAGAGGAGGCTGCAGCTCTGATACTCAGGGATCCTTCACACAGTGACAGCACAGTCCAGTGAGATACTGTAATTCAGACTCACCTTCTGAGGGGAAGGAGAGCTTTTAATATAAAATGGGTTGTTTGCCTGTTCTTGTTTCCGGGCTTCTCGACGCTAAAAGGAAAAGAGGATTTGTAGTTACAATGTTTGTTTGTAAGCAAAGAAACAAAAGACACCAAAGTGCAAAACAAAAGCTCCCTGCATTTTTGGAACAATACATAACTACTGTGAAAATACTAGAGCTGAGCAGCTTGTGTGTGATAAAGCAGTTCTGAGTTACAGACACACTAGGATAGAACTGCAGGTATCATTCCCAATTCCCACCCTGGAAGAGCTCATGGCCAGGCTGGAAAGGGCTTGGAGCAACCTGGGACAGTGGAAGGTGTCCACTACCCACATCAGAGGGTGGAATGGGATGAGCTTTAAGGTCCCTCCTGTCCCAAGCCACTGTATATGATACTATAACTAATATTCCTTAGAACACCCCTCTTTGCTTTTTAATTACAGACTAGAGATAAAACCTTTCCAGACATCACTTTTTGATGGCAATTGGAATGTTTTTGTTTTCATTTCTGCAAGGAGAGGAAGAAGTGAAGATTCATATAACAACAAGTTCTCTCTGTGAAAGCAAAGAGGCCAGAGGCAGGAAAAGTGGGATCACTGCTGAGCACAATATGTTACAGTCATTCACAGAAGCTGCTCGAGTCCATAAGCATCAGCTCACATCAGTGATCAGCTTTCCTGAGCTATGGAGGGCAGAAGGGCTCCCTGGCTACATGGAGATTCCACAGCAGCCCCACTGCTGCAGCAACACTTAGATTACTCCCAAATTATGTAGGGAAAAGCATTTTAACATTCACTCACTCTGGCCAGTTCCTCTTCATCTATTTCTGGCTGTCTGTGTCTGGAATGCCTTTGTTCCTCCTCATGAAATATTGTTTTGGGCTTTTCATCTTCAGACTCGCTGTCTGATGGAGGCTCATTGATCCAGGCATCAAGGTCCAGGCTGGGAAGAATTGCAACAAACAAACAGCTTGACTCAGTACCCCCGAACATTTCAGTGTCTCATCATACACTTTGCTTCATTATTCAAAGTTTAAATAAAGGTTTGGGAGAGAGAAGGAACTTTACCCCTCTGGAACAGGGACTTTCTTCTGTGCTTTAGGAGCCACAGGGTTCAGCTCACCAGCAAACAGGGCTATCACTTCCTCAGCTACAGGAACTTCTTTTACTTGTAGCTTCTGAATGTATTTTATCAGCTGCAAGATGCAAGAAGCCTAAAAACAAATGCAGAAGTGGTTTCAGAATAATATTTAACAAGCTGAACCAAACAAATCAACTGAAGTCAACTGAAGGTGTTTTACTCCATTAAGGGACTCAAGAGAAGCAGCATAAACTGCAGGTTTAGAGCAAATGTAAGAAGTCCATATTAAGCTTCTCTTTTATCTGGGTCCTTTTTGAGCCCTCAAGTGCCTGAATAATTTTAAAATTAAATTGTTTTGAGTGAAGATCTTGCTGGCAGCCTTCAGATATGGCATCAAACTGCAATAAGATCTGGGCTTTGTCACTGATAACAGCTCACAGAAAATGTGCACAGAGAGGCACTGAGAACCACAGACCTGCTCCAAGGCTTCCCATGATAAATCCCAAAGTCATTTCATTCTCTTACCCTCTCCTGAACCTCCAGATCTGCACTCTGCACAAACTGAGGCAGGCGCTCGATCATCATCTGTGTAATTTCCTGAGCTGCTTCCTTTTCCCCAGCCTGCTCCTTCTGCTGCAGGATGGATGCATAGAGCTTCACCATGTTCTGCACGTAAACAGCCTGGATGTGGCCTGGCAGGGTTGTAACTCTGGGCCTCAACATTGCTTCCAGGGTTTGGTTTGCTTCCTCGAGGTGTCTGGAAGGGCAGAATACACAGGTGAAAGGCAAGCAAAAATAAAATCCAACAGGCAGTGCTTAATACACAAAGGAATATAGATCACAGCACTTTGCTTTAAGACCTCATGCTCTTACTCAATTATCTGCTCACAAAAAAGGTACTGGACTATTACAAACTGAAAGCTAAGTTGTTTCTAAGTAAAAATGTGGTAACACTGGAAAAGAAGAGTATATTTTCTTACTTCTTCACATGCAGTTTTCTTTGTAATACTTTTTTTTAAAGGAAATAAAGACCTGAGCTGTATCACACCTACGGTGTGAATTTAAACTGGAACCAGTGCTCAGAATGGCAATTAGAAGGAGACTCCAAACTAGCCAGTAAGAGGCGACTCCAGTACCACACCTGTCCAATCTACCAGACTAAAAGCTGGGTAAGAGCTGTATCTGCACCAGAAAGAGACAAGAACACCTGTTGAAGCTAAAAAAACACATTGGTACAGGAACACTGAAAATTGTGCTGCTGTGGGCATTGAAAAATTTTGAGCAAAAAGATGACAACATTTAATTTCCAGGAAGATAGTGCTCTGCAAAAACCTTTCAACAAGGGCAAAATAGGGAGGAGAGAAAGAACTAATTCAAACACGGTGGTTGCACATGTTCATGATTAAGGAGTTCCTTCAATGTCTTAAGATGTAACAGCTTATACCTACAATACCAGAAGGATCCAAAGCTGTTGGAGAGTGCCCAGAGGAGGGACACGGAGCTGGGGAAGGCTCTGAGGAGCGGCTGAGGGCCCTTGGCTCGTTCAGCTGGAGCACAGGAGACTGAGGGGAGGCTCCTGGGGGCTGCAGCTCCTGCCCAGGGCAGGCAGAGGGGCAGGGGCTGAGCTCTGCTCTGGGACAGGGCCAGGAGCCCACCAAGGGCTGGAGCTGTGGCAGGGCTTGGCATGGAGCTTAGGGGAAGGCTCTTGCCCCCGAGGGTGCTGGCACTGCCCAGGCTGCCCAGGGAATGGTCCCGGCCCCAAGGCTGCCAGAGCTCCAGGAGCGTTTGGACAGCGCTGCCAGGGCTGCTCAGGGTGGGGCTGTTGGGGTGGCTGTGCAGGGACAGGGGCTGGGCTGGATTGTCCCTGTGGGTCCCTTCTGACTCAGGATATTCCAGGATTTATTATTCACTACTACGGCTTCCTGCATGAGTGGGCAAGGCTGGAGAGACAGGAAAAATGATCTGATAGTTAAAAATGTCTTGGCTAGAAAGAGCTGAGGAGTGATAGTGTGAGGGAACAAGAGAAAAACAATCACTTTGGTGGCATTAAGGCACATACTCTGAACGCTCTCTCAAAACCACATTTCAGTGACCAAAAGCTTTGCCCAAAAGCTGCCCCTCAGAGCACAGCAGGCTCTGTCTGCACTTACTCAGAGAACTCCCCGCAGATCCAGGCAGCAGCATAGAGCACCTCACAGATGCCATTCCTCTGGGTGTTGCTGGCGATGAGGTGGGCGTTGTCCAGCAGCATGGCCATCTGGGACACCGCAAACTTACGGATGGCTTTCACCCTGATGGCCACATCCAACATCTGTGCTGCAATCAGGTGCCCGTGCCTCGTGCCCTCCAGCCGGGTCAGCTCCACCAGGATGCTTATGTACCTGTGGGAGGGGAAGGGATGGGTGGGAATCAGAGCCCAGCCCTGCACTGCCTTTGTGGTGAGCCCCAAGCTGGCAGCTGAAAGCACTGACCATTCAAAGTTGGTGATGTACTGGTAATTGGACTGGCTGCAGATGTCTATGATTTTGGTCAGCAGCTCATCTCGGTACGTCGTCCCTTCGGCTTTATCCACGTGAATCATCAGTTTCTTCACAATCTCCATCAAGTTCTTCTTGGAGACCTGTTAAAGAGGTGGTGAAGGGTTCATCCACTTTCCTACACAGCCAAGGCCTTCCAGTTCCAGTAAAGCTGCTGCTGGCTCTTTGCTGACCTACAGCATGTTCACAAGAAACTAGAACCATTTCTGTGGGCCCCAATTCAAAAATGAACCTGTTTAATGCTGTTCAATGTTTTTATTGAAGAAGAGCCAGCAAAATCTACAAGGTGTTTAAGAAAAGCCTGGATGTGGCACTTAGTGCCATGGCCTGGCTGACAAGGGCTGTTAGGTGCTAAGTTGGATTTAGTGATCTCCAAGGCTTTTTCCAACCCAGCTGATTCTCTAATGACCTTGCTGTGGGAGAGCTGAGAATCAGAATTACTAACAACAATACAAAAATCCAAGAGAAAGTCTATCTTCTACTGCCAGATTAGCAAGTTTAAGAGGTTAAAACATTTTTGTTTATAAAGGAAACAAATTTAGGAGTCATTAACATCCAATGGAATTGATTTCAAAATGGGTGATTTCCAACAGGGCCTGAACTGAGAAACTCCATCCAGTCTGAATCAGAATTTTTAAAGCCCTCATGCTAAGCCAGATATTTTACTTATCTTAAGTGCCAGAAAAGACATGGGAGTCTGCTGTGGAGTGGGCAGAGAAAGTTGCATGTTCTCCTTACACATCACCTTCCTAAAGAGTCAGTGGGGCTGCTGAGGAAATCAGTGTAGGAACGTACCATGCCATAGAGGAGATCCAAAGCTCTGAGCCGGATGGACTCATCTTTGTCATCCAAACACTGGAGAATGAGATCCTTGTGAGACTGAACTGACTTGGGGTGCGTTTTCAGGATTTTGGACATAGCTAACAGGCCCAGGTACTTCACTGTGAAAGACAAAATAAGACTTCTTTCCAAATATAGAAACACTGTTTTGGGCTGAGCATGAAATCTTCAAGCTAAAAATTTCCCAGTATTCTTTGCAGTCACTAAAGTAAGTCAACACTCCTGCATTTTACTATTATGCTCACTCTGCTGAAAATAGCTGCCACTGCTTTCCAAGCAGCCAGTCTATAAAAAGGGAAATCCCAGAGCATGGAAAGAACTGTTTTAGATTTACAAGACCACAAACAGCAGTAATAATTGCTGTCATTTGTTTTTAAAAATATTATTATAAAGAAGTGCTCACCATCAAAAATTATTTCCATATTAAATCCCCTGGCAACTGTTCACAGCACACCAGGCACTACAACCCCTCTGAGGCTGCTGCAGCATCTCCCCCTGGCTTGGGGGCCTACAGCTCCAAGAAGAAAGCACCATACTTACAGTTCTGGTCAGAGTCTTCTATCAATATCCTCAACTTCTGCACACAAAGCTGGAAAAAACGACCACACCATGTTTATTACAGGTCTTAATTAAAATAAGTCCTCATGAAGTTTACTCAATACACAAGGAAGTATCTGACCAAGACCTGAGGTCTCCAGGTGAGAGGGTTTTGTTGCATTAAGAGGCTTCCAAACAAAAGGAACCTCTGCAGACTGTATTGATAGCAGTATATGAATAAAGAGTTGGGAAAGCTCTCAAACTCTGCATTTTAGAGTGAATTAAGTAGAATTTATACAGGGAATGCTTCAGTCTGCAGGATTGCACAGTGAGAGCACTTCAAGGAGCTACTGCTGTAACTTCTGGCAGAGGAACACAATCCCATTTTCCCTGGCCCTTGGGATCCCACAGCAGAGCAGAACAAACATTCTCCAAACCCAGGGTCCCACCTGGATGCTGGCGCTGTGGTTGGGCATCCCCGAGGACAGAGAGATCAGAACTGAAACAGAAGCACAAATTCCAGTCACTATTTCTGTGCTGGGAGTGCCTGCAACAACACCACCCAACAGCCCACAGCCAGCTCAGCTCTCAGGGAAAGGTGCTAAATTATTGTTTGTCTGTTTGCCTGGACTTTTGGGGGTCTGGGGGAAGGAAACAAGGTTGTGACAAACTTATCGTTCCATATACTGTAACAGTAATAAGAGGGCAGAAAAAAAAGTGTAAAGGTGGAAAAAGCTGCAACAGCCAGGTCAAAGCTGCTCTTTTTTGTTCTCACTAGGGTTTATTTCACTGACATCACATAGCAGTCAAGGCTGTTAATATGTCAGCAGCTACCATACAGCTGAATTTTTAATTCTGCACTTTCCTAATGCAATGGGATGCAGCAACAAATCCTGGAGTTTAATGTGATTAGATTGCAGCTTTAATCAAGCCAGCCATTGTTGATTACATGGGACACTTGAAAGCTCTGGCAGCACACAGCCCCAGTGCAGGAAAGGTGGGCTCACCTGGTAACTGCTGTTGGCACAGCACTGCCAAACAAGCCCAGCTGTGCCTGAGCAGGTGCCATGTGCTGCCCTCTGTCCCTGCAGGGAAGCTGAGCTGGACACTGTCACCTCCAGAGCTGGCAGGTGCCAGGTGCTCCTCTGGTGTCTCAGGGCTCGTTTGCTGGCTCTGAGTTTGACATCACCATCCCTGAGGTGTCCTGGGTGGGTGAATTCCCCCTCCACCCACAGTTTCCCCACTGGATCTCACTGAAGGCTACTCTCACCCACAATGGAATTCCCCTCCGTGTTATTCTCCCTCCCATCATGACACCTCATTTCCCTGAAGGAAAGCAGTGAGTGACAGATCTCTCTTCCCTCTCTGAACTGACCCAGCACAGCAAGTTCTGCACCATTATCCCAAGAACCCACAGGAGACAGACAGACCAACTGTGAATGTCAATAACCCTCTGCTCCACGCTCTGATATTGCAGCCAAGCCTGAGCTGCAATACTGTGTTATCTCTTTTTGCCTTTGTTTTCTCTCACCCTTCAAGTTATGGAGTTCATCTCCCTTCCCCAGAAACTGAAACTGCCAATCAGTAATTCCAATTGCCTCCTCTAAGGAATTACACCCCATTTTTAAATTGCAAAGTTGCAAAATTAAAAAAAAAAAAAGTCTGATCCATCATCACATCACAAAACTTGGCAAAGAGACATCACTTGTTTTAATTCCATTGCTGCTGGTACATTTTGTAGTTGTAGCAACATTTAGGATCTGGCATATAAATAATCTCATTGTCTGTACCTGGCTTCAGCCTTCAGCAAACACAACACAGCTGGAGTGACTGTGCCTCACCCACTGACAACAAAGGATTTCAGCCCCACAGTAGCACAAAGTTTGCCAGGAGACTCATTGCATTTTAGAATACATTAAGTTAAAGAAAAAAAGGTTTACAGATGGTGTCAGTTGATGACAAAGTTCATCACTTTTTTTTTCTAGGTTCCAAGTTTCAGTTCTCACCTGCTATTACTGTGTTCACACATTCATATAAGAGAGACATGGCTGAGGTGCTGAAACAGAAATCAGGTATATTAAATAAGGAATAAACCAGCACATTTTGAAGAGTTGTCAGCACTATCTTGGAGCTAGTTAGCACCTTGAACTTCACAAGACATTGTCAATATTCTGCTCCATATCCCTTCAAACAGATGAAATGATTCTCACTTAAAAACTGTTGGGGGGAGGAATTTTTAAACAAATGTTTAAAACCTCAAAAATCTTCCTGGAAAAGCAGCAAGTAAGAGCACTGTGACACAAGGAATCTGGAAGGAAGTGGTTACTCAAACTCCAGCACCAGTCACACAATACTGAAGCAATCTTGTCCAAGAATCAAATTAAATCCTCTGCCCAAGGTCAAAAATTGATGACAAGGCAGATGGAGAAGCTCAAGTCTCTCTCCAAGCGAGTGAGTCACAGCCCAGCAGCAGAGGCCTGGGATGCAGGAACACACTTCCCATCCCTGGAAGCCAGCAACCCATTTCCAGTGCCTGATTTCCCCCAAAACCCAAATTCAAGGCTGCTTGTGCCAGCTGAACACACAGACAGTGCAGTTCTGAGGATTGCAGAGGTCCTTACAAAGCCCAATCTGTACAAGAGGGAACCAGGAACCTCCCAAGGCCCAAAGGAACAGGCTCCAAGAGCAGGGCACAAGGGGAAGGAGCACAGCTCCAGTGGCACAGTGACCTGAGGGTCAGCTTGGGGTGCTGAGAACCAAGACCAACACTTCTGCTCCCTGGCCACGTGGTGGGCCAGCTCAGGGTGCTGTGACTCATTATGAGACCCAAAATGACTGAATGGAGACCAAGCCAAAGAGGACTCAGCCCCCACAACTCAGAATTACCAATGTGTGAGCTGGGGAGAGGAGGTGGGATTGTCCATCTTCCTGCTTTTTCTGGTGGGTTGTACCTGTTTGTTACTGCAGACACCTCCCTGGAGGTACCTGGATGCTGGTTTGTTCTGACCCTGCCTTAAAGGAATATGAGGATGGACAGAAATCATCTGGCTAGAGCTGCTCTCAAGGCTTAAAACCTTGCTCTGTCACATGAAAAGAAATAAACTTTTTCACTCAACAACTCCTGCATAAGATCACACTTCCTCTTCACAACAGGGAGAATCCATGTATTGCCTCCAAGGCATCTATTTCCTGATTTCAGTTCAGAGTTAAAACCACTACACCACCACATACCAGCAACAGACAAGGGACAAGGAAATAACTTCAACTTTATTTAATCTACATTTAGAACCTATCTGTTGTAAGAACCTCTTTCAAAATGCATCTGAGCTGCCAAATGCATGAGAAAGGCCTTTAATATATTCCCTGCCACACTACTTTGGTGGGTAAGGCATTCCCAAAAGTCAGGAATCAAATGTGTGAGGTGAACAGGAGAGGCAAATACACAGCTGAGCCCTTTTATACATCCTCTACAGTAATTTCTGGCTTGAAATGCAGTGAAAGGAAAGCAAATTGCTCCAATTTTCATCCATCCTTTGGAGAAATTCATGCTGACAGTCAGACACCCAGAGATTTTCCTTTAAGGTATTTTACCTCACTCTTGTTTTCCAGAAACAACCCTGATCTAAGATTATATTTTGATACTTGAAGCCAATATACCAAAGCCAATAAAAACTATAAAATGCATCCCCACCCCAGGTATTGACCCACCCACCAGGCCCTTCCCCAGTCCTGGCTGAACAAGGCAGGATCTGCCACACAAACCTGTGGATGAGGTTGGTCAGGGGCTCAATCAGCTTCTTTCCCAGTCTTGGTTCTAATGGAGTAAGAGCACCAAACTATTCAAAGAGAAGAAAAGTGACTTAATAGCTGCTTTTCAACAGCTTCAAAACATTATGTAAATTGCAGCTCACTGTATTTAAACCAAGCTATATTAACATATTTTTCCTTTGGTTACATTCACAAACATTAAAAGATAGTCCTGGTTTCTTTTTATTCAGATTGAATGGTAACTATGCTTCCCAGCAAGAAATCCATTTTCACACCCAAGGTAATTTAATGAGAACCCTAATCCTGTAAACAAAAAGCAGAATACTTGCCAGTTTTATAATTTTAATGAGAACCCAATTATTGGTTGACGACGTCATCAACTTGAAGAAGAGCGGAGCAAGGGAAAGGTAATTTTTGGGATTGCGTCGAGCCAGCTCACAAATAACATTTACTGCAGCAGACTGCACACCTGGGCAAAACAAGTGGGAGAAGCACAAATCTCATCAATGCCTTCATTGTAATTGAAGTTTCTGGTGCAGAACCCCCACAGCAAAAGCAGCTGAAGCTTCAGACCTGTGTGTCCAATGGTTTGGCATCATTCCCAACCCTGAGGCAGTAAATACAGGGATGCAAAAGCAAACTGAGAAAGGGTTTTATTTAATTCTGGCTATTTTCTAATATAGCAGCAAGCCAGGTATCTGCTTGGGGTCCAGCATGAGAAAGAACAGCACACTGCCACATCTCTGCCCTGGACTGTGGAGAGCTGGTTGTGGGACACACACAACACAATCAATCACCCACCAGAAAGTTTCCAATCACTCTTGACTTCTCTGAGATGTATTATTTAAAAATGTTTAAATACAAAACAAAACCAGTAATTCCTTAAGCAAACTGACTGGACACTTTCACTCCCTTCTCACTGCTCAGCCTCTGACATGGGTTGTTGTCAGTTTGGAATGTTTTAGTCTAGACAGGCTGGGTCTGATGGCAGAGAGCAATCCTTCACTCCACAAAGCTTAACAGGCAATTTCTTCCTCTCTCTGCAGGTGAGGGATTTTTCTTTCTTTAATAACATTGTCCCTGGAAGATGAACATTCCATGCCCACAATAAAACAGTCCAGGAAATGCAATTAAATTTCTCCCTGTAATTGCAGATACAAATCAAGTGGAGATTGGATACAGACCACACGCAGAATTCCTAAAACAAGTGTTTTGGTGCAGAGAGGGAACACCAGCACCTCCTAAAGACTGAGCAAAAATGTGAATATGACACCCAGCAACTGCACCTTTTCTGTGCTGCCGCTGACCTGCACTGACACAATCCTTGAGGGGCCCAAAGAGCAGTCTGGACTCAAATAAATAAACAATACACTAAGGAACATTAAATAATTTTAAATGTGTCCACTGTAAGTCAACAACTGCAGCTTGCTAAAAAAGCACAAGTAGTAACAAAACCAGGACCCCAAACCCTGAAATCAACTGAAATATTTTCAATAGCCAAGTTCAGTAAGCAACCAATCAGGAAACTTTAAGCTGCTTTGTCCATTAAGGTTTAACCCACTGATACATTTTCAGTAGCTTTGGGTTTGAAGAAATAGACATTTTAAAGAATGTATTTTTAATATGGCAACACCCATCAAAACTTTCCTATGCTCACCTACCCTGAAAAAGGTGAGTCAGTGCCCAAAAGATGATTACAGCATTTTTCACGCACTCTTTTCTCCACAAGCTCTACAAGCACATGGACCTCCATGAGTGAGGGAAGAAGGAATTCACTAAAATCCACTCTCAAGAAATTCACTAAAATCCACTCACCAGGATCTGGATCTTCAAGTTTCTCTTTAAGGCGAGGAAATGCAGGACGGAGGGACTCTGGGTACTTCAAAAAAACTTTGTACATGATTAACACTGCCTTCTTCCTGATGTAAGGCTTTGTGTGAGACATCTGTGAAGGAAACAACTGCAGTCAGGCTCTGAGCACATCTGTGTTTCCAGAGCTCCTGTGCTCACATTGCTGTCACCAAAGCTCTTCCTGGGAGACTCAACTGCTTTTTGAAAACTCAGCTTTGAGGCAAGAGCAAAATACTGTTGTTTATCACCAAAACTAATGAATGTATTTGAAAGTGATCCTCCTGATCTAACTAAGGTCTGTAAAAGCTTCCCAGAACCCCAACATGAATGCAGCAGCAGGTTTTCAGGTATCAGTTCTAAATTTAAGATATTTACCAGATCTGAATAACTTAACATTCTGTAATTATAGAGTAAAGTTATTTCAACCTTATCAACTCACCAATGTCATGATGTCATTTGCCAAGTCCCTGGCAAGATCTGGAGTAACAAAACAGGACAAGCCAGTCAGTGCAACTCCAGTATCATACTGGTTAGGGCTACTCAGATCCTGAAAAAAGAGAAACATGCTCAAAAATTTAAGATCACACAGAATGTCAAGAAACAACTTCCTCAGACTAATTTTATTCAATCAACATAAATGAGGCAGAGCTTCAGCTTCATGGGAATATTTCTATTTCAACTACTAACACCTGCTAAACTACAGCCAGCCTGGGGTTTAATAATGGGCACAAAGAACCATAATTAAACAAGAGATGGATGACTGTAACATAAAAGTAATCAGAGAGATCATACCTTGGTGGTGTTTGGGGAATAGAAATAGTTTTTAAACACTCATTACAGGACCACAAACATATTTGAAAAACCTGGTATTAACCAGGTATTAAACCAGTAAACAGTTTAATACCAGTATAAAACCTGGTATTAAACACTAACCCTGCTAAGTCCAATTCCAAGTGTTATCAATTTCAGTGGGAACAAGCACTCTTGGTGAGTGGTGTTCCACCTTAATCTAGCAGAGAAATGAGATTATTCTTCTCCTGAGCTGCTGGCAGCGCCACAACTACCAGTCCACAAGGACAGGACATGAGTTACGTGTGTGGAACACATTTATTGGTCAGGTTCCCTTGGATCTATTTGTAGTCAGTATCCTACCCAGCCCTCCATAGTCTTTCAGGTCTTTCTAAGCTTAAGTCACTCACCCATAGTAAAATTAATTTATGAGTATGTTCAAGTAGAAACTATGATTTGTGCATCAGGAAACACAAACTGAACAAGCTGCACAGAGCATTCCCACATGGACTGCTGAATTAAGAGTCCAGATTCACATGGATACTGAAGCTGCTTCAAGAGAGCTAAACATAGTCAGGCCTTTGGGGTTCTGTGCCATTTACATCTCATTTAAAAACCTGCTGCAGGTGGTGGGAAATTAGAGTCTACTTTAAGAATAATGCAATCTACTCCTTAAAGGAGCAAAAAACTGCAATTCATCCTGGCTCTAATGTATTTTGAGAACTGATAAATCCTTCAAATCTCAAGCTGTTGGATCAATGAAACATGAAAAGGCATAAACAGAGATTTTTATCTTTTATATAAAAACTTGGGTACTAAGTGGAAGTAGCCAGTAAGTGACTGAAATTCAGTAAAATAATGAGTCCATAATAAAGACAATAGATATTCACATTGAGCCCAGAATAGTTCAAAAGATAATGGGAAAAGCACTAGTTCTTCAGGGAAGATACTGGATAACATCCCACTACTCTTCTCAAGCAAGGAAAACACATTTTGGTTCCTCAGATGGTAAAAATGTAGGCACATCTTGTACTTGATCTGTCAAGTTTTAAAGCAATGATACTTAAAAAATGCAAGTTAAGAGCTTTAAAAAAAAATCTGTGGCTTCAAGAATGGGAAAACTATGCTGCACACCAGTAACTCTAAGTTATCTTGCTTTATAAAAATGAATACACATGTGGGTACATGAATACAGAACAAAACTTTCCATATACTCTTCACCATTTTTACACCCAATTCTACCAGAGAAGTCAAAGTCTGATGTGGAGTTACAGACAAAAAGATCCCTCACAAGTAGAAGTGCTGTGGAGCCATGTCACTCCTGAGCCACTGCTCATTTTACTTCAGGAATGGGGACAGTTTTCCTGCCTGTAACATTCTTATAAGCACTGCCTAGAGACCAGCAAAGTTATTTCTGTCACCATTCTCTGTGCTGAACAAACACAGAGCTGGTATGAGACAGCACAGGGAGAGATGTGCACAGCTCCTGAGTGTTTCATTAATCCCTCTGCTTGTGGAATGACAGGAGACTGCAAATCAAGAATTCTGCTTAAACACTTCTGTATTCCTCATGGAGAAATCCTCAGTACAGATATGAAAGTACAAGTAGGGAGAGAGTGCAAGAAGAAATGAAGAACTGAACATTTACCTTTCGGATCTGATTAGTTGTCAGCATGATGACATCAGTCCCCTCATGAAAGCACTGGGAGGCAGCCAGGTAACCAATGCGCTGGGAAAGGCAAGGAGGAAAACAAGCTTTGTTTTTCAAGTCAATTTAGACAATGTTTAAGTGGAAGACAGCTGGTGGCTTTATAAGCAATATTAAAAAGATGAGTAGGTTTGTAAAAGAAGAGGAATGAGAGGGGTCCCCTAGAAAAGGAGGTTTATATCAAAAAAGAGTAAGTTCAGACAAGTAATGTTCTGCTGATAATTTATCTGTCTTAGGGATAATAAAACCACCTTCACCTTCTCTATTTTGTTACAACACAGTGCAGTGACTAAGAAGCTGCAGAAATAAGGTAGGATTATCTACTACAATTATTTTGTCTGTGTTAACTCCTGAGTTTCAGGTATAAAGCCCCATTTGGAAATCATTCCTTAGGAAGCAACATTCCACCCTGTTTGGTGAAAAAGGTCTGCAATAGACTATAAAATACATCTTTCAAGAAAAATTATAAAGCTATTACAAAATAAAAAATGCCTGGTACTAAGAATCTCAGGTAGTCTTCACATAAAAATACCCTGGATTTTCACAGAAGGTATCTGACAGCTTGGCCAGGACAGCTGCACTTACAGAGAACTCACCTTGAATGTAAACTTGGAAGCACTCATAACTTCAATAATGTTGAAAGCAGCCCAACTGATGTCATAGCCCAGCATCTGTAACTGTGAGCAGAGAAGCCAAGATAAACTTCTCAAATAAGACACTCAAGAAAATAGGTCAAGAGTCATGTCCCAAAATTGAAGATGCAACAGGAGTCTGAAAATGATACTGTAAGGCATCACAGGTTTATGAGCAACGTACCACTCACAGTAAGTGAAAGACTTCACAAGTTTTAAACAGTTTGCATCTGTTCCAGGCTGCCCAGAGCAGCTGTGGCTGCCCCTTGATCCCTAGCAGTGTCCAAGGCCAGGCTGGACAGGGCTTGGAGCAGCCTGGGACAGTGGAAGGTGTCCCTGCCATGGCAGGAGGATGAGCTTTAAGGTCTCTTCAAATTCAAATCATTCTGTGATTCTATGATATGCAGTTATATAAGAATTGGTGTGAAGGGTTTTCTTCCTGTTTTTTTTTTTAATAAAAACCATAACAGAGCCATGAAAAGAATTCTTTACCAAAATTTCTGTCTTCTCCTTGTCAACAAAGGACTGAGCAAAGAGAAACAAACCAAGTTTCAAGTACTCATGTCAGTATGTCATGAGAACCAATCCAGTTGAAAACAATTTCTTTTAACTTGTTTGCTTTAAATGAGGTTCACTTCCTGAGCCATCACAATTAAATCCAGTTGTACCAAACTGAGCAGGAACGTGCAGCCTCTGACGTAGAGCTGGGGGAGTGCTGTCCCCACAGCCTGCACTTGGAGCAGTCGAGGCAGAGCAGGCACCCAGACCCGAGGCTGGCTCCAGATCAGCTGAAAAGAACAAAATGCAGCTGCAGTTGCATGGGATCCCAGCAAGGCACTTACGTAGGTCAGTTTGCAGACTGCGTTTGCCTTCACTGCGATGTTGTCCTGCTTCAGCTCCTGCTTGATCTCGTCGATGCACTGCGAGATGTATTTTGCCTGAGGAAAACAAACAAAAATTTGAGCTCCTCCACCAGTTTCTCAAGTTTCCAGCATGTTGGTGGGGAGAAGCAGCAGAACTCCATTTGCAAGCATCAATCTCACACACACACCATCTAGTGAATACTTAATTCTGACAAAATTACTTATTAAAAAGAGCCACCACAATTCCATTACAAAACCAAAAGTATGAGATGTTTCTTTGGTGGTTGTCCCTTCTGCCTCTCCCTCACAATTACACCACTCACTCAAAAGCTCTACATTCAAAAATCTGCAAACATGAAGTTGTTCAATGGAGACTGAGTAGGCAGAGGTCTGAACAAAACCACAGTTCACCATTGCTAGAAAACTCACTGCCTCCAGAGGGACGTCAGAGAACACCCGCTCATTACGTGACAAGAAGAAACTGTCAAGCACTGCTAACAGCCCACAATGAAAGGTGACTGATGAAAACAGCCCATTTTTGGACATGCTGCCAGTGAAGACACTGTGGGTGTGCACCCACAGCACAGGGACACAACATGAGGCTTGGATGGGACACAGGTGCTTCCTGGATCCCCCCAGCCATGGAAACCTCCATGGAAAGTCTGAACCCCTTCTCTGGTTCTCAACTTCCATGAACCCTTTTGCCATTTACACATTTTGATAAATAACAGTTATTTCTATGAATCTCTCAGCAATTCAAAGAGCCAAATGTCACAATGTTTACATTTAAATATTGGTGCTTCACATCTTTCCAAGCAATCACATCTGTGCTTGTGGGAAGGATGTGGCAAACATGTGATTTAAAATTATCTGTACAGATTTTACTTTATAAGCAGAACTTGCTCAGCCAAAGATTTTCCAGTACACAATTAATTATTATTTAAGTACTGAAGGCATCTGCTACAGGAATCATGAAAACCTAAATGCAAAGAAATAATCTCTCTTTTCAAAGCCATTCATGCACCAGGGTATTTCACATTCCCAACTGCCAGAGGAACCAGGTCAGAACCAGATTACCTAATCCCTGCCTGAATACCACTGCCTTCCTCCAAAATGATATTTTCAGCATAGAAGCGTCTAGTGGCCTGACTTTAATGAACATTTTTCCCCTTTACACTAATTTTTGTGTATTGATACAACCATTTTTTAGTCTTTTACAAATGTCCTGGAGTGACACTATTCAAGTCACACAAGTTTGCTGCTAGAAACAGCAGGTGCAGAATGGATGGAAATCAGCCCTGGGGAAGGACTCGGGGTGTTGGTGGGTGAGAGGCTCAGCCTGCCCCGGCCATGGGCACTGCCCCAGAAACCCCCCCTGTGCTGGGCTGAGCCCCCAGCGTGGGCAGCAGGGCAGGGGGGGATTCTGCCCCTCTGCCCCTGTGCTCAGCTCAGACCCCCCTGCAGAGCTGCCCCAGCCCTGGAACAGCAGCAGGAGGACGTGGAGCTGCTGCAGCCAGGCCAGAGGAGGCCACGGAGATGCTGCCAGGGCTGGAGCCCCTCTGCTCTGAGCCAGGCTGGCACAGCTGGGGGTGTTCAGAAGACACATGAATGAACTAGAGGGAATTCAGGCTATTCCTAAATGCCTGTGTTTGGGACAGAAATACTATCCTTACAGTGGGAATTCTCCTGTTAAAGAAGGGCACTGCAAACACCAAACAACCCTTTCCTGTAAGCAGATCCCTTCTGTTCTCCTTGGATACAGGTGAGTGGATAACAACGGCCAAAACTGGAGATGGCATCACCCCCAAAGACTTAACAACACAGTGACCAAGTGACTTTACCCAAGAGCAGATTTGGGATTGTAAACCCTTCACCTGAGAGTGATCCAGGTCCTGACAACTCACATGGGAAGTTCAAACTCTTGAGTATAAACTAAAAAAAGAATTTCTGAGGGTAGAAAATACTTCATTAAAAATGCTGAAAGAATGACTTACACAACATGCAACTGATCCACAAATATATTGTACTTGGCCTTGAATATTTTATGCTCACAGAAGAGCACACTGGAACAGTGTCACAGAATCCTTCACGTGTGTATCTTGTTGCCACATCCTGGGCAGTGAGGCCAGTGATGGTTCTCAAGGCAGAAGGACACTGACACACACAGGTTCTCAGTCTTTATATCCATAACCAAAAGCCTCACTTATTTCCCACTGCATCTATCCCCACACTATTCAAACATTAGCTTCATCTTCCTGGCAACCTCTTCAGAGTTGAGCACAAACCACTGTATGAGCAGGAGAGGTGGAAAAAATAGAGTACAGAGGAGTTCAGTAGTGCCCAGCCTGGCACAGCTGAACAGAAGCTCCAGAGCCAGCAGCCCCAGCATCCCACAGGCAAATCCCTGCCTAGCAGTTAGTCCAGCTTCTGGAAAAGCATATTACAGAACTCAGAATCAGATCTGCAACTGAAAAAAGGGATTAGAGAGAGCAGAAAGAAGTTCTTCTGAAACAGCTGTACTTCAAATCCCAAAACACTCCAAGGAATGGCAGGCACTATATATAGAAAGCTTTACAGGATCAGCAGGTATTAACTTTTTGTTAATCCTGTGGAGTGGCACTGCCGTGAATGAGCAATATGAGGAAAACTGATCTATTCAGCCTCCCTCCTCAATCTGAAAGCCAAGCACCACACCCAGCTGGATCTGCTGCCTCACTTCACACCCACAGACCTGGGAGGGAACCTGGGGGGGAGCAGATCCTCAGTGAGGCTCTGGCTGTGCAACCCTGACCTGGGCACAGCGCCAGCCAGGACCTGCACCAAAGCACTTCCACTGACCCACACCCACAGCCCCACTGCAGCCCACAGCTGCTCAGTGGGGTCACACCATGTAGCAAAAGGGACAACAACCACTTGATGCAATGAAAAAAATTCTAGTCACTCAGCAAGGCCTAAATATTTGGAAGAAAAAAAATCTTTAACATTTACATACTGACACAGCAAAAAAATATGGGTATCTTGCCCAGCACCGATTATGTCTTTGCATAAATCCTTCTAATACAGGAATTTCCTAGTGTGGTAATTAAAACCAAATATTCCCCAGGATAGAAGTAGCTCCATTTTTCCTTAAATGCTTTTGAGGTCCCATGAATCACAGAATCATTGAGGTTGGAAAAGCCCTCTAGGATCAACAAGTTCAACAGTTGTTAATCCAGCACTGCCATGCTCACCACTAAAACATACCCCAAATGCCACATCCACACATTTTTTTGAACACTTCCAGGGATGGTGACTTCACCACTGCCCCTGGGCAGCCCCTTCCAATGCCTGACCACCCCTTCTATGAAGCAATTTTTCCTAATATCCAATCTCAACCTCACCTGGTACAGCTTGAAGCAGTTTCCTCCTGTCCTGTCCCTTTGTTCCCTCGGAGCCCAACCCCCCTGGCTGTCCCCTCCTGTCAGGAGTTGTGCAGAGCCACAAAGTCCCACCTGAGCCTCCTTTTCTCCAGGCTGAGACTCCCCAGCTCTCTCAGCTGCTCCTCATCACCCTTGTGCTCCAGTCCCTGCTCTGGACACACTCCAGCCCTCCACTGTCTTTCTTATCATGAGGGGCCCAAACCTGACCTCAGGATTCAAGATGGGGCCTCAGCAGTGCCCGGAGTTCATTTATGCTCCCAGTATTCATTACAATACCAATATATTTCTTAGCTATTAATTCCTTACTAATTCTGTGGCAGTACAATTTGCAGTTTTGTGCTGATGCTCACATCCTGGCCAGCTGACTGAGGAGCATTTGTAAGCCCCAACATTTCCAGAGCTGTGGAAGTGCCCAGCCAGGTGGCTCTGAGGGGGCCAGGCACTGCTCAGGCAGCCCATGAGGCACAGGAACCAGGGGGGGAGCAGGGGCAGAGCTGCCTGCCAGTAGCAGAGCTGAAGGCTCTGAGGGCAGCAGACAAGGAGCTGAGGCTCTCTTTTATTCCTGCTAGGCTGCCAAGTGGGAAAGGAGCCTTGCCTGCCTCGGTGGAAAGGCTCCTTAATGAAATGCTATAGCAACCACTCTGGTAATTGCTCTCTCTCCCAAGGAGCGTTACAGGAACACGCCCGGAGCAGCCCAGCTCAAACCCAAGTGCAGCCTGCAGCCGTGAGCAGAGAATACCCAACAGAGCTGTGAGAGCAGCACAGTCACAAATGCAGTTCTCAAAGTATGCCAGCAACGAGACCATGGAATATTTTATATCCATTAACAAACTGCACGAGCTGTTTTTTAAAACAAGCCCGAATTCCTCAAGAATTCAAAGATCTCACCTAGAAAATATGTGCATTTAAATGATTGTGAGTGGCTAAAATAAGAAAGGAGGAATCATGAATCAAAGACACAGTCTCTTGAAATGGAAGGAGGAAGGGGAGAGTGGGTCATGGTAAGAAGCCAAAAATGCCATTTTATAGGATTTTTCATTTTCCAGCCATGTTTTTTGACTTAACTTTGAAAAACACTAAAGCTTTATTCCAAGCCAAAACAGAACTTGGGGTTTGCTGACAATTTCAGAGATGCTCACAAAAGACTTACCTTTCTCAGGCAAGCAGTATGTGAAGTTAAAAAAGTCACTAATCTGTACAACAATTACATTCCTAAGAAATGTGACTCTCCATGCTGTACTCTGTCATTACCTGACAGGAACACACCAATAACTGGGATGGAGATCACTGCAGAACCTTTACATTAAATTCAATCACGTAAATTACTCATTTCCAGTAGTCTTTAAGAAGCTGTATTTTCATCTCAGCCATAAACCACCTTCTAAACTCAAGAGAAAGCAAACTCACATTCCTACCACTTCAGGTTGCAGTCCAGCAAACCAAATGCATTTGATCTGAGATTCAACCTGTCACTGCAACATCCAAGTGCTTCCATCTACATGAAAGAGCAAAATGTCAGTGACCATTAGTTGTTATTTCTCTTGCACTTCCAGGGTTAAATACAGTGTTTTAAGGAAAGAATTATTAACAGTGAGTGCCGCAAGAAGCAAGACATTTTCTGATATGTCTGAACTACACCATGGTAAAACAAATGTT